AGTTGAATGTTATTTAGTGATCAGAAAGCTTGAGATGAATATGCCTCTGAACAAATCTGAAACTGCAATTATCTTTTCCATATACGTCCAATTCTTGAAACAACGCTTTGCCAATGCTTTTCGTATGCTGTTGTAACTGCTTGTTAGCTGCTCCTTGGATTTGTGGTTAAATCCTAGTTTTTGAAAGTATCTAACAAAAGTTGAAATCTTGGTACGGGTCAAAACAGCGAAAGCATATTGCTCTTGTTTTTAGCAAAATTGCAAAGGCAAAGTGAATTTGATTGTTGGTGTTATTTCTTCAATTACCGAACACTCTCATGAACCAGATGCTGCAAAATTGATTGCTAAAAGTGATTATTATTGCAATTTGAAAGTAACTAATAACAATGAAACTAACAAAGTTTCAACTACAATATTTGTGCCTCAAGATGAAATCGCTCGGTCTCTGAAAAGTTACCATTACATGAAGAGGAAAATTGGTCGAGCTCGAGCTTAACCTTTCCCAAGTTTGTATTGTAGACAAAGAAAAATAATGAGACCTCCAAAGCAAATATTTTTAACAAATTTCGTTTTCTCTCTGAATCTTATATCATCATAAAAACCATTCTTTGACTTTCAACATTAAATATCTGGAATCACAGTCGGGTCAAAGGAGACGTAATTTTCATCATTCACGATGATGATCTTATCGCAGTTAGCTGTAGTGACTGTAATAGATTACAATACAAGGTGAAAATATCTTTAATTTCGTCCTCTCACAATAAATCAAAAAATGAAAGAAATGTAGAAGAGATCAGAATTTTCAGCTTTAATCCTTTCACGCCGTTGATTTCAAATCGCTTCAACTTAAACAATCACTGATTTGAAATTAAATTTCAACCAAAATTTGACTCCTTTCAAGTAATGGTGAAACAAGTTTAACCTTTTGGGTTGAACCTGAAACCTAGTTAGACATGAAGCGACTAAAGTTGATGACATTTTGAAATGGATGTTGATATTAATGTTTTTATTAATTATATCACTCACCAGGGAAATGTGAATCACACTAATAATGGAAAGGTTAATGAGTTAATTCACTGAGAAAAGGTGAAATGAAATTAATTAATTCTCTTATGGTCATCCTTAACAAACAATCTTTATTAACAAAGTAATGAACGTAATTAACTAACTATAATATGAAGATGTTAATGTATGTTGAAGAGTACAAGGGAAGCTGAATGGGATCACAAAAGGTACTAAAATAGTGTTCAACATTTTCTTGTTTACTTGCTGTTAGTGAACCATTTTTAATGTAAGAACATTGATTTTAGGTTCAACATTTGCTACTAACAGAGTTATTACATGAAACAATAATAGCTGCTACCAAAGTACAACAACTGGTTAACCACTAAATTGTAACGTCAACAATCTAATCTTGTTCAAATAATACAATTTACTGAATAAAACATCATCGGAAAAGGTAAGATGAAAATGCAATGAAAAGCCAATTCTATTAAAGAAAATACTTTTTTACTCTTGAATCCTTTTTTTCATTTCATTTCATTAGCTGATTGTTTTAAATCAATGAGGCAATCTATCAACCAACTTGAGCTTAAAGATCACAATTGAAAGATAAACACTGAATTGTCATGTAAATTGTGAGACAGTTAATGTTGCACAATGGATGAATTGCAAATGAAATGACAATTAATTTCAAGTGTTTCTCATTACAACAGGATAAAGTGTAAAAAGGTTGATTAGATTGAACTTTAATCAGTAAATCTCAACCTCAAAATGCAATCAATTTGGAGCAACATTTTTCTTTGTCATCCAGTTTCATAGCAAACAAGGTTTTCCTGACTGATGACTTGAAACTGATTTACATTGATCAACATAATTTTGTCACTTTTAAAAGCTCGTAATCCTAACCAACAGATCAGTGACATTAATAATAAACACTTTAATGCACAAATCGATCAAGGTTAAAGACTGGAATAATGATTTAACTTGAATGTTGATGTTGAATGATGTAAAACCAGAGAATGTCCTGATTTTATCAAATTAATTGATTGTCAAGGAGTAAATGTTATCAACTCTAGTCATTGAAATGCGACTTTAAAGATTTAAAGATTCATCACATTTCTACTGAAGTATGGTTTTCAAATGGCTAAATATTTCATGAAAACAATCAGAATAATTATCAAAATTGTTTTTACTATTAAGATTTGATATCTTTAAATGTTGATGTAATGAAATGAACAAATTATGAGCAAACCCTTCAACTCAATGGTTCAACCAGTTAGAGCAACATTTTCCAATTTTCTCATGAAATTGGTAAATGGTAAAATGATAACATTGACTAAAGCTAGCTAATATTTTAAGTGAATGAAAAATAAGAATCAAATCATCTTAAAAGTTCCTCAATTAATCAGAACTATGATCGAGTCGAATGGAGTCTCGGATTGATTAAAATAAGTAACTTGAATCGTGCGATATTACATTAAACTATTAAGATATTAAACTAGAAAGTTGATCAATTTGAGAAGCTAAAAGCTCCAATCTGGCTCAATTTGAAATATATTTGGGTGCAAGGTTGACACACTCGAACCTGTTGACAAAAAAAGCTAAATCATTTGATAAAAAAAGCTATTAAATCTCTTTAACTGTTAATCAATCTTCAGGTCAACGTGATAAATGAAAGCTAAAAGTATTGGGTTGATATTGAAATGTTAAAAATGGTTTAAATAACAAGTTGAAGTAATTAAATTGTTCCCAGATGAGTTGAACATTAAACTCATTTGTATTCAATGAACGTTTCAGCCTCTTGAAGCTGATTAAATGGAGGAAAACTTTAAACCTATTATTGATTGTTATTATCCTGAGCATTTACAATTGATTCTGGATATTTTAGGCTTCCAATGATTTTAACATGAGCCAAGTATTTTTTTCAGTTTATTATAACTGAGCCTTTGAACAAATTTAAACAAACACTTCAATCTATTATTTGAATGAACAAAATTGTTCAAAAATATCAATTGATATTAAATTGAAGACTAAAAAGAGGATAAAAAAGTTAACCTTGATCATGATGAGAATGAAGATTTCAATTGAAGAATAATGAAAAGATGAATTTTGAACAATATTTTCACTTGATTTACATGAGAAACTGAAAAATGGTGAAAATTGATAAAGGTTTTAACTCACATTGGAATTGGTTCACTTGACTGGATTAACCTTAAAACCTTTGCTCGTAATCACAGTTTGGTAAAAGCAATCAAAATGATGATCAAAATGTTGATCAAGAGGTTGACTTTGATTAAGCTTTAATCAAGCAAAAGATTATCAAGAGTAACTTTAACTGTAAAAGTTGGCTTCATTTGATAAAGATTAATAGTTTTTTTTGTTTTGTCAATTTGATGAAACTTGAAGCAAGACTTGGATTGACTTAAAGAGGTTTTTTTTCTCGCTATCATCAGTTCAATGGTGATGCTCAGTTAGTCCATGTAGTCATCATGCAACTGAGAGACTCGGAAAATTGTTACTGGGAATGTGAATGTTCACCAATCTTGATTATCACTTATTTTGGTGTTTCCTCACATCTTAAAGATTTGATATTTGATTCAGCTTTTTATGCACTTGGATAACTTTGAGATTTAAATGTTGATTTAAATTCTCGTTTTCACCAATTAACAGTTGAAAGATTATTTAAATTGAATTTCAAATTCAACTTGAACATTGGATGAAAGGCTTTTAATATATTCACAGCTTGATGAAAGTCAACTTTCATTTTATTTACTGAACATCATTTTTCAAGTTAATGATAATAATCTTAGCTATTTGGTTTAATAAGTGATAATTGTACAGCGAAGATGAAAATTCATTTTGGAAACTCAGACTTCTTTTCATTAAGGAAATTGTTTGTTTAAGTTGACTTGGAAATATCATTCTGAATGATCATTTGCCTTTGCTAATGTTGTTTCAAGTTATATCTTTCAATAAATCACGATTTTTTATTCATAAAATTGAATTCTATTGGATTACATTAAATTGCAATATTTGTTAATCTTTGACAAATTTTATCATGATTTATATGGAAAGAGAAACATTGATTGAATTAAGTCCTTTTTGTTGATTTTACAAAGAACAAATTTCTCCGCATTTACGATGAAATCAATGAAAATAATGATTCGCAAAGTATTGACTCTTGGTAAACACTGAAAGACATTTTCACATCTTTTTCAATTCCTTGTCCAGTATTGTACCAGAGTTTGCAGCTTGAAGTTATCAGCTTTATCCATGTTAATAAACTACTTTTTTACATTCACCAATAGATTCCTATGTCATCTTCAATTGACATACAAAAAAACTGCTGATTTTCTGGGTTAATTTGATCCAAAATTTGGGTTTTCCTGGGATATCTGGAATAGCGAAGTTTCCCAGGGGCTGTATTCATTGAATTTTACCATCGATAATGGATAAAGTAAATCAGATAAATGAAAGGTTTCGCTGGAAACGATTATTGGGGTACTTTAAAATGCTCACACCAAACTATTAACTGCCAACTACCTCAGGTTGATTGTGATCCAGCCAAAAATTTATGCTCAGCGATCAGCAGTCTTTGTTTATCAATAGCAATAAGCTATGGGCGATTGATCCAGCAATAGATCCCATGGGTTCGATGAGTTAGCCTGTGATTATAATTTATAGAAATTGATTTGACAATTGTGAGTAGAGAATTCAAGAAAAAAAACTTGAATCTGAGTTTCTTTAGACAAAGTTTCAGTTAACATTTATATTCATAATAGTGATAATGACATCTTCTGGAAATTGGTTGACATCTTTGTTGATATTCATTTATCCGTTTCTTGATTTCACAAATCAAAGTCCTGATCGGTTCTAATCCATCCAATGAACAGTTTTGTGTAAGATTGAAATATTTACAACTGATAATCAAATAGTTGATAAGACACAAAATTTAAATCATAATATTTCATTTTAACCTTTTTTCGGATGCAATAAAATTTCGATTCCCAGACTATTGTCAAGGAGTAAATGAAATGTTTATTATGTTTATGTCAATTGTCATTCCATATAAGAGAAATTATAGACAAAAAAGGATGAAAAAAGTTAAACTTGATCATATGATTACAGATGAAATTGTGTTGAAAAAAAAATTTATCAAAAGATTAATTAGTATGGACCCGGACGTCTATCATGACCCCTGCGCATAGGTCCACCTCGACCTCTCATAGGTGGACCGCCACCTCGCCCTCTAGAGCCATCGATTCCGCCTCGTCCTCTAGAGCCGTCGCTGCCACCTCGCCCTCTGAAGCCATCGCTACCTCCTCGGCCTCTAGAGCCATCGCCGCGACCTCGTCCTCCTCCCATATCTCCATCTCTGGAAGAGGAACCTCCTCGTCCTCCTCCCATGTCTCCGTCTCTGGAAGCAAAGCCTCCTCGTCCTCCCATTCCACCGCGGCTCATTCCACCGCGACCACCTCCGCCCCCGCCTCCTGGCTTAGGAGCTTGACATCGATTACATTCTGATCTCCAGGCAAAGTTATTATTACCACAACTAGGGTCGGGACAGTTCCAGTCTCCATCTCTTCCTCCGCCACCTGGTCCTTTAATAAAATATAAAAATAAACAAGTTGAGGACCATTCTCATCATTGTCATGATAATAAAAACTTACCTCCAGGTCCTGAGCCACCTCCGCGACCAAACCCGCCTCCCATAGAACCTCGACCACGGCCGCCACCACCGCCTCTACCTCCACCACGACTAAATCCACCTGGTGGAACTTTTCTTTGGGCCATTTCTACTTTAATTGTATTTCCCCTAAATTCTTTACCATTAAACCATGATATTGAAGAATTGGCAGTTGGAGGATCATCGTAAGTCACAGTTGCTTCACCTTTACTTTGGCCAGAGTCCTTATCTCTATAAATCCAAATTTTATCTCTACCAGTCTTTTTATCTTTCTGCAAAACAAAAAAAAATACAAATATTAGATGACATTTCGGAGGATTGACACACTTGATTAACGTGATTACTTACTTTAATTAAA